CAAGCATTGGAACAGGCTGCCCAGAGAGGTGGTGGAGTCAGCATCCCTGGAAGTGTTCAAAAAATGGGTAGATGTGGCACTTTGGGACATGGTTTAGTGGGCATGGTGGTGTTGGGTTGATGGTTGGACTGATGATCTTAGAGGTCCTTTCCAATCTTAATGATTCTAGTTTTTACTTTCATTAAAAAATAATCCAGCCACCAAGCCAGGAAACATGAAATTGCTACTCTACCCATAATTGGTTTAGTGGTGGACTTGGTAGCATTAGGTTAATGGTTGGACTGGATGATCTTAAAGGTCTTTTCCAACCGAAATGATTGTATGATTCTATGATCTTTCCCTTCCTTTCCTTTCTCCTCCACCCTGAAGTGAAGGTCCTTCTAATTATTATCGTCATCTGAAGAGTGGAAGGCAGCAAAGCAACCTGCTAGCTGTACTGATGCGATTCAGACGTGCTCTTACTTGCTAGGAGACTGGGTTGTCTTCCAGCCAGTTTATCAGGACTTCCTTTTCAACCTACAGGAGGCTCTGTGCTTTCCCTTTTCTTAGTAGTCCTTTTCCCATGAAGGAGACTCAAATGGCAAATAGACTTTTAAAAGACTTTTCCCTCCACATTTTGCTGCTTCAGATGCCTATCAGTTGTATTTTCAAAGTCTCTTGACTTTGCCTTACACCTCTATGTGTTTTTTGTGGCCTTTTGGAGGTTTTTGTTGTTGGCGGTTGTTGGGGGTTTTGAGTAAGGGTAGGAGGGTTGTGCAAGTTTTTTTTGTGTGGCCACTGCTACATTTTGAAGTCCACAGTGACAAGGTAGCGGAGAAGACATGACCTTGCACAGGGCAGAGAACAAATGTAATTCTGCTTGTCTGGCCGCTGAGTTACTTGGGGATAACACCACCCTTCCAGGCACATTCTGCCATAAGATGATGCAACATGGTGCAGTCAACTCACTGTATCAGAAACAAGAGTTAAAGAAAGACAGTGTGACTGGGGAACCTGAGATATGTGTAGCAACCTATCTAAACTTGCACACCAAGGTGTTTTAACAGGGCATTTAGCACACAGATTAATTTGGAACGTCAGTCTAATTTTAATAATGCCATTTGGTAGTCTAACCTGTGTAGAATTGGCATAGTATAAAAGCAAGAGACTACTCATGTTAAAAATCTAAGTAGTCTTTGATCAGGTCAGTTTCTGTAGCATATTTACAGAGCCCAGTCTGATGTTTCCACCTACTGTGTACGCAGTTGTACTTTCTAATGAATACAAGAATGAATACAAGAAGGACATGGACCTGTTGGAGCAGGTCCAGAGGAGGGCCACCAAAATGATCCAAGGGCTGGAGCACCTCTCCTACGAGGCCAGGCTGAGAGAGTTGGGATTATTCAGCCTGGAGAAGAGAAGGCTGCAGGGGGACCTTATTGCAACCTTCCAGTACTTAAAGGGGGCCTACAGGAAGGATGGGGAGAATCTTTTTAGCAAGGGCTGTTTTGACAGAACAAGGAATAATGGATTTAAACTAAAGAAGAATAGATTTAGACTAGACATAAGAAAGAATTTTTTTACAGTGAGGGTGGTCAAGCATTGGAAGGGGTTGCCCAGAGAGATAGTGGAGGCCCCATCCCTCGAAAGATTCAAGGTCAGGTTGGATGGAGCTCTGAGCAACCTGATGTAGTTAAAGCTGTCCCTGCTCACTGCAGGGGGGTTGGGCTAGATGACCTCTAAAGGTTCCTTCCAACCCAAAGCTTTCGATGATTCTATGAATAGAACTTGATGGTCAGAAAGACACATTTAGACTGGGGCTGTTGTGTCTGCATAAAGAATTCATTAGTGGCTGCAGAGTGGAAAGGCACTTCATGTAAATTGATTGAAATATATTTAAAAATTCAAAATTTAAATTGGGAATGAATAAGCAACGGATTACATAGAGCAGCTGTAATTGTTGTCTTGCTTCACGCTCCTGGATTTTCCTCTTTCAATGGGGTGCATGGTGATTCTCGCTGGATCTGTTATGCCTGCATGCACCTGCCATTACTGCTTTGCCATGAAAGTTTGTATTACAGTGACCGAATCTCTTCCTTCTATTTTTTTTCTTTCTTTTTTTAATGGCCTTAAAATTGTGCCCATTTTCAAAAATCTCAATTCAATTCAATTTCAGTTCATCCTGTCCCACTCAGGTAATGTTCAGCTCAGGTCACTGTGTTTTAAATTGCTGAGCTCAAAGATAATAATGAACTCCAGAAATTCAGGTCCTCATTACTCAGCAAAGACAAGTCATGGTAGACACAGCAGTATTACACACTTCTGAAAAAAAGGTTTCTGGCTGAATGTAGACACTGGTGGTAAATTGCCATGTGCTTGTTTTAAAATTTTTTAAAGATTGCTTTTGAATGATCTCCAGCGGTGATGGGAGAGATGTGGTACTCTGAAAGTTGAGTCATCACTGTTGTTGTGTTTTAAAAGCATCTGTTGATTCATGTTTTTAATGTGCATCATGAATTGAGAAAGGGGAACATGCTACCTGAGTAAATCAGTCTCCACTGGCATTTTTTTGGTCTAAATGGCAATGGTCTCAGTCAGGAGGAAGTCAATAGAATTCCTTGAGTGCAGATGGGGAAATATTTTTTTCCTATTAAGTAGAAAGTCAGTAGTTTGTGTAGTGTATATATACTATGTTAAGTACTGTATACATATTTTTTTTCTTCCTTCTAATTAGCTTGATCTGGAGAATCTGTTTGTCTGTTTATTACAAGGTTCTCTTTAAAATTGCTGTTTTCTCTTACTGTGTGTGTTTAAAGACCTGAGCGTCATGCAAGAGAGTTCAACTTTTGACTACTTTCCCTTTAGGTTTGTAAGCAAAATACTTGTAATACCCAACTATCCTGATCTGCTGTTGTCAGCTTCCGGGGTATGTATCGCAATTTCTTCTTCTTCAAAAAAAGTATTTTTCTTGAAAATTTAAACTTTAAAACCATTGTTTGTTTGTGTTTCCCCCAAGTTCCTTGGGATACTTGGAATAATCTCTTATGGTTTACAGCAGGCCCTCTCTCTCCCTCCTTCCCCTCCTTTCTTAGCTTTCTGTTCAGTGTTCAGCCATTCTATTGCTAGATCATATATGAGCTGTTTACTGTGTTTATAGCAAGGCTAGCTTCTTACTGAGGTCTTTGGGATGGAGAAATCACAAAGTCCTCAGTATACTTTAATCATTAACTCTTGCTTTGGACCACAGACAAACTTTAATCATTGGACTATTAAACAACTTGGAAGTGAATGGGTGTTATGCCAGTTTGCTATGATAAATGAATGTCTTGAGAATGAATGGCCTTAGAATCACCGATTTTTTTTTTTTTTTTTTAGAGCTTTTAAGATGAGAAAATTGTTCCCTCTACACCCTCCCACTTGCTTGCCCCTGTGAGACTTGTTCTGAATTATGTCTTTGTCTGTATGTCCTGGTAGTAAGTCCAGTGCATGTTGTGTAGACATTGCAGTGCAGTGCTACACAACACTTGGATGAGGACTGAAGAAGTGAGTGTTCCCTCCTTTCCCTCCCCCCAGCCCTTTTCTTAAATTGATGGCATCGTGCTGTCATGCCAGACCTGTACAGGATGAGTAGATGGAGTTGGTCTAAAAGAAGGGAAACAATATTCTTTGTTTCCCAGACTACCAAAACTGCATAGAAAACAAATAATGTTTTCTGTGAAGATGTGAAGATCGTACTAATTCTTAGCATTTGGTTTCAGCTGCTGCTCTTGCTTCCCTAAGGCTCTTGTCTCTTGTTCCTCTAATTCTTTAAGCAACTCTAGCATTAGTGGTGTGTGAGGCTGTATTTCATTCTTTGCAAATGCTCTTTGATGACTCTGTTTTTCAAGAGAGGTGTTTAGCTTCTCTCCAGGAGGTGACTGAATCAAATGGGAATTTGGGTGATAACAAGACTAGGGGCAGAGAAGGGCAACCTGAAAGAATTACCATTAAAACGCTGAGCACATGTATTACTGTGCTATTTGAGACAGAGTTGAAATGCACTCCTCCAGCTACCCATTTCCACTTCAAAAGGAGAATTAAAGTTAGCATGATTGAATAATTTAGAATGGAGGGGAAAGATTATGTTAATTAAAATGCTTTATCTGCAATTTGAGGTCTTAACTAAGTGACTATTTAGCAGCTTCTGTGGGAAGCTCTTCAGGGAAATAGGATTTAGCTGAAGGCCACGAGTGACCTCTCTTTGCCTGAGGTTCTGTTAGTAATAGACTTGTGTCTGCTTCCATCTATCCAGGACTCGACTCTGAGACTTTGGGAGTACAAAAGCGGGGAAGAAGTGTACTGCTGTCATCTAAGTAGCATCTGTGGGCCTGAGACAACGAAAACCGACCAGGTACGCCCATGTGTGTTAGTGCTTTTGTTATCCCCCTGATCCTTGTAACTCCCAAACATGTTTGTTGCATTTTGATAGGAGTGCCTCCCTTCTGTCAGTGGGTTTGGAAGTTATGTGAGACCTAGGAACTTTTACAGTAGCCTGGGATTTCAGGAAAGGAAGAAGGTCCCTGAAATCCACTCCTGTGTCTTGTGTGCATTTCTAAAAAGTGCCAAGCAGTGACCAAAAGAAGCTGCTTGTAATTCTTCCCAAACACAAGTTCTGCACACTGGACAAAGCCTCCACTTGAAAATTTTTCCAAAAACACAGGTGCCTTAGTCTTTTAGCCAGAAAATACCTTGTAGCACTGGAAAGACCTAAATATTCACCCATTTTTTAAAATACTTAGGATTTCAAGTGTTAAAGTTGCAATTTATCTGAGCAAAAAGTAGCTTTGTAACATTTGTAACCAGTCACCTGCAATAGCACTGCCCTGTGGAGTCAAAACACTGGGCTTGTTCCTTTGGGTTGTTCTGAAGCTGGGCAGCATTCAAAATGAAAATGTATGAGTCCTACATGAAAACCGAATACCCCAGGAGCTCTCATTAGCTTGCAGCCTGTACATGAGTGGTGTCATATGTATGCATTCGGGATGGTAATCTGATGTAAGCAGTGGTTCTGGTAGTACTTGATCTCTGGTTCTGTTCTTTCTTGTCATGTGAATTGGCATACGACCTATTAGCAGTGAAACAGCGCTTGTTCTTGTCCCTGCTGTGTACATCATATCAAGCCAGCTGCTAATCTCTTGGGTCATTTAAGAGTAGTTCATCTTGCCATCCATCCTGCTGGGTGTGTTTTTCATGTGAATCTCTAAAAACACTTTCTTCTCTGAAGACCACAGCTGTCTCCCGGTTGTTAGGTGAGTGGGAAGCCTGTAGCCATGCATGGCTCTTGAGGCAAGTCCACTGTGGAATTCGTATCCAGGCTGAAATTAATGCGGTCCATTGCCACCTTTGTGCTGTATTGCTACACAGCTGTCAATATGTACTTCTTTCAGAACAATTACTGTCTTGATGGCCAGTAGGACCAAAGGGGAAAGGAGACTTGTGTTTTGCTGGCATCATAATGCTAGAAATGCCAGAGATGACGTCTGGTGGTAGTATTTAGTCATGCTGTGCATCCAGAAGTATCAAAGATCATCTTCACAACCTAGTGTGACATTTATAGTCTGAATTTAAGGGAGCAGTCTCTTGAGTCAGCACTTTGTAGGTTGTAACTAGCATGCTGTCTGCAATTGACTCTGGCAACCAAAGATCAGATGGGGATATAAGTATGTTTTCTTTTGCATTGCATTTCATTTTTACCGTTGATAACCACTGTGAATGCACTGAAGCCTGAAACACAACTTGAAGCGCAATGGTAATGGAATCCTCAGTGATGGTGGGCCACGGAGCACGTAAACGTGGGCTTATTTTGCTTGGCAGATGATGAATGTGTGTCTGTTTTGGGAATGTAGGAGTGTTTTTGAGCCGCGTAGCATTGGTTTCAGCTGATGGGTTGCAGATCCTGAGTTCATTTTCCCACTAGAATGGGAGTAATTCTCTAATTTCGTAGTGCTATGTACATATTTTTCCTGCTTCAGAGCTTTCACCTCATCTGATCCTCTTGACAGCAGAAGCTTGTTTAAAGTCCAGAACATGAATTGCACAACTCTACCCCAGTGCTCCAGTATATTAATTTTTCATAGGGTCACCTCTTCTCACAGATGACATCAAAAGTTAATTTTAAGGTGTTGGCAGGCAGATAACAGTGTCATATAAATGCTGAATGAGTTCAGAGAGTACCAAGAGAACATCTGTTTATCACAGACTGCTCTTGTAGCTCTTCTTTAAGTTAACTGATTTCATAGGCTTGTCCTTGAACAAGATACTACTCTGGGGCTTGCATTCACTTTGCTGATTGTTAACTTACCCGCACATGGAAAGGAAAGAGCTTGCAAAGAAGATGCATTTTCTTGACTCTGTCCAGCTGTTAATAACACTTGGTTCAAATCAAAAAAGCCTCCCCCTCCCTCCCCCAGTGAGGGTGGGGGAGAGCCGCTGCATACTTGAAGTTCACAGAACCCGTTGTAGCTCTGACAAAGCACTCAGCTGTGTAGGTGGGCACTTCCCATCACTGCACTTGCCCCGCATGTTTGTCATGAGATAGGCAGAGATGCAGAGCTTTGTTATTAGAAATAAATATCACAGGTTTGGGTTTTTTAATACACATATATATCTCTTTAAACATCTAAAGAACCCATTGGTGGTTTACAGTAGGAGCTGTCAGTTCTACTCTAAAGCTGTGGTGTAAATGGCTCCGTACTGCGATAACTACATTTAGACATATTAGCTAGAGAGAACCTTTCTGATTCAGCCCACTCATCTTACACAGTTTTTGGAACTGTAAGCATTTTTTATGTCCGTGTTAAACAGGGGTCCTGGGTCCCAATGCTAAATATGGACTAACAGCTTAGTATTTCTCGGAGTAGCAAGAGATTAGTCCTATCTGTTCCCAAGAGCTCTGAAACATATCATACTTTTGATAATGTTTTTATAAAGTGCTCCTCTTCTGTCCAAACAGGCAATTGAGTATGTGAGTGAAAAATGTGTGCGTGCTGTTGTCCTTGCTTCCCCCCATGAGACTGTATCACACAATGGATTTTCCCCTCCCCGTCCCCGGCATGTGCTGGAGATGCACCGTGTAACCCTGTTTTTCAGTTATATTTATACTGTTAATTAACTTTCTTTCCTGCAGTTAGTTTATCTTTTAGTAGTTGCATCATGCACTGTTGACAAACTTGTTAGCTTCTGGTATTAAACTCACTGACTTGAATGTTTGGAAGCTATACAGCTTGTTTTGCTTTCCTACATTGATTGCAAAATTCCAAAATGAGCACCCTGACAATGCCTATACATCAGCTGGTAGCTCAAAGAGTAAATCCTGTGGCTACTCCCAAATTCAGCTTAACCTGGTGAAACAGAGGTTCTGTCTTAGTGACCAGTGTCATGTTAGGGAAATAGGTGAAGGCTGGAAAGGGCGTAAAAGGAGAAAGGACTTGAGGATGCATATGAATTCTGCCAGCAGAGTGTCAAGAAGATGTATTTTCCCTGCCCTAAAGGGAATGACTCGCTACTTCTCTAGTAGGAAGGTCTTATTAATCAGAAGTGCTGGTGTCATTGCTACTTATAAAATATATTTGAGAACCAGCCTTTTGCCTTTGCAGTTTCGTCTTTCATGTTATATAACAGATAATTTTGAAAAAAGCACCCTAGGGCGTCTTCTTGCAGTTTTTCTGCTCCTCCCAAGTTCTTACTTCCCACTCAAGGAGTCTCAAATCAGTTGTTATATCCTTTAAGGAGTATGGTTTGTGCAGCAAGGGTATTTCTCTGATTCTCTCTCAGATAAAACTATGTATCTTCTAAATTAGGAGTGTGATGTGGGGTTTTTTGCTGGTTTTGGGTGTGAGATATTTTTTGCTTGCTTGTTTGTTTTTTAATGAGTAAAACGGCCTCAGGCAGACTTGCCTTGTTCTTTAGAACACATTTTCTGTTAAGTGGTATGGCTTCACCCAGACACATGTTGAAAACAGAGGCAATGCAGCAAGGATATTAGCTATACATCGCTGTCTTCTTTTTTTAACAAACATAACAGCAGCTAATGGCTTGTGTTTATAATCTCTAAGCTGCTAGTGTGATATCCTGGCTGAGTAGGCTTAATGTTGATGTTTTTGCCATTAGCATTACAGGAGAGAATGTTTGCAGGTGGTGTACTTTTCCTTCATCTGTTAGTTTGTCTATTAAAAGTTGTTCACTAACATCTTTAAATTTGCTCTCTGTTTGGATGGCTGTGAAGGCAGAAATATGGAAAACTTTGTAAACAGCAAACACTGGTACAAAAATGTACTTGACTGCAGTCTAAAGGTAATTATGTTGCTTAACTTGCTGTAAATTAAGACATCTGCTAAATTTTAAAGGCTAAGACATGAAATGGAATGTGAATTTTCTGCCCATAGTCTTAACTTACAAGGATGTTTCTTTTTCTTTTCCTGATAGAAATACCCTGTGTCAAGAATAACCTACTGCTGTCAAGGTGGTTATGTTGCCATTCTGTGTGACTGGTAAGAATAAATGGAACAATGGCTAAAATCGTCACAGCTCCTGCAAAGGCAAGAGCAGCTTCCCCTGTTGGCTGTCCTAACTTTTCCCTAGCCTGCAATACTTGGTATCGTGGATCTCCGAGCGTCCCAGGCATGCCTGGGGCCTCACAGGGAGCCTCTGAGTCCTGATTGTGCTTGGTCTGAGTGCAGAGACGAGTGCGAGGGTTGCCTGACTTAGTTGAATTTTGCAGGCTTTGTGATGTCTTTTCCTCATGGGAGGAAACGCAAGGCTAGGATGCACGAGAGCCCTGCTCGGTGCTCAGGATGTCTCCCTAAGTCACTGTGCCTGACCCATGTGTTTTGGATCCCATTTTGTTCAGGGTGCTGTGGTGATGGAGCGGCCAAAATTCTGTTACCGTATTCTGCTCCTGTACATGGGTTTGGCCATTCTGTTTAAAACCACAGTGTTGCTTCAGTTTAAAACCACAGAGAGGTTCAAATGTACATGTTTGCATAAGGAGAGGGTGCTTGGGAGCTGAAGGACCTAAGCACTGAGGAGCCTTACAAACCCAGCTGGTGGGGAAATGTCTTGCAGGGATGGACAAGCTCTCTTCCCCTCTATTTCCAGAGTGCCTTAAGCCTGCCCAGGAAGCTGTTCTTTCTGACAAAAGCTTGCCAACAGGAAGGGGAGAGATTGCCAGAGCTGCCTGTACAGTGAAATTGGCAATCTGTCCCCTCAGTGGACTTGCTCTTCACCAGAGTGAGGAGCCTTAGCTGCTTTCCATCACGCCTTCTGTATGGGCATCCAAACTGGCCCTGGAAGGGGAAGCCATGTCAGCTGAGGGCTGTGCCCAGGGTGCTTAGCCCAGGGGCTGCGCCGTGCTCTGTGTCAGGCTTTTATTTCCAGTTCCACAGCCCAGCGTTTCTAAACAGTGCTGTCACCTGGAGCTGGTAGGCCACTCGGGAGGGAGCTGAGGTGTCCTGCCTGGCACACTGGGGACCTGTCCAAGGCAGGTTAGGAAGCTCTGCACGTAGAGGCTGTGGCTGCTAGAGGAGTGAGTACTGATGGGAGAGGTGGAGATGAGTGCAGTGCCAGAGTCCTGTTCTTCAGCCATGTCAAGGTTTCCTGTGCCTCTCATTCCCTCCTCCCCTCCCCAGCATGTAATTCCTTTCCTGTTTTATTTTGACTGGTGCTTGCTTACATATTCCTTCAGGTCAAGCCCTGTAGGCCAATGTGCTATATGATGCAACACTCCTTATATAATCCTTATGAAATTCCCTTTACTACCTTTTCCTTTAAAGAAAAGGCAGCATCGACTACTTTTTCCTTCATACAACACTTGAAAAGCCACATTGATGTGTTAGGTATTTACAGCTTCTGCTTCACATCATGTAAGCAAACTGCACTTGAAGTGCTCGAGCATTTTTTTGCAATTTCTAATGACTTTGCCTTGGCTCTGTTTGGAATTAAGAGTGGGTGTTTGTAGTTTGCTGTACAAGTGATGGCTGTAGGTGGATTTGGTAATAATGGTAATTAAGTTTTTCCTCTCAAAAGTATTCCTGCAGTCTACGTCTTTCAGCTTGATGCCATTGCCCAGCAGCTAGTTTACAGAGAGCAAATCTCTTTGAAACATAAAGGTTGGGACATTGCATTTGAGGACACAGGAGATCTATGGATTTTGCAGGAAGACAATGAAGCTCCTCTTCAATTGTACAGACCATGTGATGGACAGTGGAAGGTAGATACTTTTGTTATGCTAACATCCTGAATGTTTCGTGTTGTCTTGAGGCCATAACAAAAATGGAGTGAACTATATTCAATGAAAGCTAAATGGCACACTTCTCTATTTATGTCTTGGGACAGAGTAAAAGTTATAGATACACATCTCATTCTACTTCTCGCCTATGTATAACGCAAAGCTGCTGAGAGCTTGTTATGAACACCAGTCTCTTCTCCGGCAAAGCTAACATCTGGCACAGCAGGATCAAGTGGAGTGGTTGTCAGCTGTTGCACTCAGTACTTTAAACCATTGCCTGTGCCTTCTGTGTGCCACACTTGATTATTGGAAAAAAAAAAAAAGCCCAGAACAATAAAATCCCTTTGTGGTTTGCTCAGGAGTACTTTCCACACAGCCTTCCCTGTGCCTGCCTCTGAGGGATACTTTGGGGGACAAGGCATTCTGGGAGTATTAAGGGGATTTTTTTCACTGAGAACAGGGAGTCAAATTTGAGGGATGCGCTATCATGTTCTCTGTAATAGTCTTTTAAACAACTGGAAACTCACTGGTTATCCTTGTGAGTCCCCAGCTAATTATGGTATAGTTGTGAAGTGGTTTTAAATGAAACTTCTAAGTATGTTCTTTGATCCTTATGTGCTCCTTGTGATACTCCTTTTCCTCACAGATTAGTAAGTGGGAATCCATTTTCTTTTCCTTCAAGTTGCAAAGCTTCCCCAGCACAACACGTCATTTCAGGCCAGGTTTCTATAGCTGTCCTGGAAAAAAGCAGCCTGGGAGAGATTATGGAGGGCTTACACTTGCTCTCCTTTCACTGTACTCATCTGAGAGCTCTTGTGTTTTTCAGTGTGCTCTGAAACATGAGATTGTTTATTATTCCCAAAATATCATGCAGTGTTCCTTCTTTTCCCAGGCTGTAACTGATGACAAAGGATTACAGAAGATGTCAAAATATCTTCAAGACAACTGGACAGTGTTTGAAGGTGAGAAATTTGGCCTAAAGGCCCAGGACACGCAATTCTTACAGCTAAAGCATAGGATTTAGGAGCAAGTTTAGAGTTCAGGTCAGTTCAGCTGGCTGTTGAAGCTGCTTAATCTTTCAGTTTTCTCAGTTTCATCACTCCATCTGGTATGGAAGTTAGTGTAGACCATGAAGTGTGTTCAGGTTCCTGTTACCACAAAATGACATAGGTATTTAGATCAGAATTGTAGCATTTTAACTGTTTTACACCGATGCCTTATGACAGGGATGTATCTAAACACCCTACGGCAGAGCGGCTGGAGTCTGTCTTACCTCTGCGGTACTGAATACTGTTGTTTGTCATCTTGTCTCTTACCTGGGCATGACACTGTCAGAAGTACAGTGGAGATAGTAAGAATGGAATAGCCATGGGAGGATCAGCTTTGCTGTAAAGGTGGGCCATTCGGGTCCACCTTTGCAAGGCAGATTATGTGGAGCTTGCTGTGGCTGGAGGATGTGACCCTGGGTGGTATCACAGATGAAATTGATTGGTATCAGGGCTGTTCATTTTGTTCTTGACTTCTGCCCCACCCCCAGTCTCTGGCAGAAAAATAATACATGGTGTACTAGTTCAGAAGCACCCTATGTTTCCAGGGGTTTTTGTATTTAAAAACCACCCAACTTTATTCAGAAGCTGAAATTATGGCAGTGGTGGCTGCAGGGTAGAGAAGGGTTGCAGCATGTGCTAGTGGATGTCTCATTATGTACTGAGAGTTGACTAATTGAAATTCTTTCCTGTACTTTGCTGGGAGACTGGGAACTCTCCTTAAAAAAGGTGTTACAGTCCCCACTGGTCTTTTGGTCTGTTCTTGGTAGCCATACATAAAGACGGAAGTCTTGCAGGAATGTGCAGCCTAATGTAAAGTCTGCTTAATATCTATTGGATGGTTTAGGGTGTAGCTGTGTTGTGGTTTAACCGGGCAGGCAGCTAAACACCACACAGCTGTTTGCTCACTCTCCCCCTCCCCAGTGGGATGGGGAAGAGAATCGGAAAAAAAAAATCATGGGTTGAGATGAAGACAGTTTAATAGGACAGAAAAGGAAGGGAAAATAATAATAATATACAGAGTAAGTGATGCACAGTGTAATTGCTTACCACCCGCCGACCGATACCCATCGCAGCCTCCTGGCCAACTCCCCCCAGTTTCTATACTGACCATGACATCACATGGTATGGAATAGCCCTTTGGGCAGTTTGGATCAACTATTCTGGCTGTGCCCCCTCCCAGCTTCTTGTGCACCTGGCAGAGCATGGGAAGCTGAAAAAGTCTTTGACTAGTCTAAGCGCTACTTAGCAACAACTAAACCATCAGTGTGTTATCAACATTATTCTCAAACTAAATCCAAAACACAGCACTATGCCAGCTACTAGGAAGAAAATTAACTCTGTCCCAGCTGAAACCAGGTCAAGCAGTCATTAAGTTGGTACAGTCTTTGAAGTCTAAGAGGAAGTCGGGTACTCCTTTGGAAGGGAGAGTGTTTGCATGTAGGTGTTGCAGACTTGATAGTTACAGCCAGGCAGATGATTAGAAGTATGAGGTCTGAGTGAAAATGAGTAACAGAGAAGTAAAAAGATCAGGCAGGGGAAGAGGTTCTGAGCATAATTAGCCAGTGTAGCAAATTACTGTGATACACAGTAGCTGGCTGCATCTGCAGCTGGGAAAGGAGGACTGCTCAGATGACAGGGTCTATTATTGTTAATTAGTAAGGGGAGGCTCACTTGATGAGCACTTATTCCAGTGCATAATTAGTACTTGAAAGGGTAGTTACTCCTTTTAAAAAAGGTGATCATTATATTGTTTAAACCCAGTCTTAATACTGCATAGTGTCCTTTTATAAATTTGTTTCACCTGATTGCTGATTCTGTAGGATTTAAGACGTGTAGGTCCATCTTGAAGTACACGTTGAACAGTTTGCCATTGTTATAAGTGATCCCAGAAAAAGATAGAGCAAGATTTAGTGCAGACTGATCAAGTAGAGAGTAGCATAGATATTCAAAATGACAGCAAGCAATTTCTTCCAGGGCCAGAGGCCAAGAAGTTGGTTACTATGTGAATGTGTAGTAGTTGAAAGTAAAAGCATGAGCTTTGCTGAGTACCAGCAAGGGAAAGTTGCTTTGTCTACCAAGAAACAAGGGGATGCTGTATGTACATTACTGTGGAGTAGCACACTAGCTTCAGGACCAAACCCTAGCAAATACTGGATTTCCTTGCATTTGCCTTTTTAAGATCAAGAATTTTTGGGAGTGGGAAAAGGTAGGAATGCAGAGAACTAGAGGTGACTGGCTTTGTCAGGTACCACTCTAACAAGTTTTAGAAACATGGACCTAGCCAGTTAGTCTCATTCTGTATTCTCTACAGAAACAATCTGATTGGGGTTTTTTGCATAGCAGTTAGTTCCCCGTTAAACTTGTCTAAACTTACGGTCTTGGAGATGATGTGATGAATATTATGCTGAATTCACAGAAGGTGTAACAACTATCGGGGTGAATATTTAGAAATGTGTATGCGCTGGAGGACATCACTGAAGTCTACTTCTTTGGGCTTCTCTTAAGTTCATACTCTAGGACACAAGTCAGCTAAGCACAGTTAGGTAGCATCCACCCTTTGTAGTGATCAGGTCTTAGGGAACAGCTCCAGTGGGATATCTAACAATAAGTTGCAACAGCAGTCATTTTAAAAACAGAAGCCTTGAAGTCTGCAAGTGTCCAATGTGTAAAGAGAGCTGTGTGCCCTCTTTGCTTCAACGTCAGGTGCTTGTCTCTGTGTGAATTTTGTAGCCTAAAAATGGAGACTATGCTTGGCTGTGTGAATGCGGGACAGATGCTTACTCCAACACAAATCAGGCTTACACAGTGTAAATGCTGATATTTAATGAAGTGGATAGGACCACAGTAAAAGAGTTGAAATGCCACTATCTAGAATTACAGTACAGGAAGTAATTGGTGAGACCGCTAAGAGAATTAACACTTGTGTTCTTGCTTTGCCCAATTGCAGGTTTTGTTGGCGCAGACAGCCACTACAGCAGTCTTTACAAGGCTTCATTTGATCATGTGGACACCTACCTACCATGGAAAGAGGAAAGGTTACAGAAGCAGAAAAAAAAAAAGCAGGATCTGCAACGTGGTTCAAATGGACAAGCAAAAAAGATGAAGACTGAAGAATCATCGCTATGACCCTGTTGTTAGCTTGTAACTTTTGCCTTGCTGAAAGGAACTGATCCGACTGCGGACTGTTTTTAAATGTAAAATGAGTTATGGAAGAAGATTGGTTTAAACTTTTATTCAGATTCAGGTTTTCAGGTAGCCTGATATGACAATATCCTGCTTGCAGCAGATAATGCATTTACAATATGCCTAAGCTTCTAGCAGCACACAGGTGTTAGCAGTTCAGTCCTAGTAATCTCTAATGCATGATATATGAATACCGGAGATAGTATTTTCCTTGAAACAGGATTTTCTTTTTGCCTACTGTGTTCAGGCTTTCTTCTTCAGGTGGAAGTCCACTCATTTAAAGTCGTCATGATTTTTCTTGTTTGTTTGCTTCTTTTGGTTTGCTTTTAACTTTTTAAAAGGTCTGTTAGTTAATGTAACTAACTTAGTGTACCTGGCTATGGGAAAGGGAATGTAGCAAAATTCTTGCTGTATATGAAAGGTTTTAGCTGAGACTTCACCATCTCTTGTTTTTACCCTTTACCTTCAGTTTGTACGGGAAGAATTCTGCCTAGCTTCCAATCCATTGCTTCTTACTTGTGGCATATTTCTATAGGAAGAAGTGCAAAAATAGATTTTTATACACTGGAAAGTAAAAGTAAAATGTGTCAGTCAACTTTGTGTTATTGGAAGATCCTTCTATTGCAATACGATCCCAGTGTGTCTGTGAGAATGATTTGAGAGGCCTATGAGCAAAACTTGGGAGTGCATTCTGCTTGTTCCAACAAGAACTCTTTCATGTTGCAATTAGCCAAGAAATACATCTTTTTGAAAATTTATCAGTAAGAGCCTTATGGGTTCACTTGTTGCTTCATCACAGGGCAGAAGATATGCATTCATCTACCAGATGGCATCGTGTCTATATGGAATATAATGTATTTCATAAAACCAGGTGTAGAAATCTGTACAATCCATTAAAAGTATTCAGAATTAGCCTATGAATTATGAATAGTTCTCTAGGTCTCTCTGTAGAGCTGTCCTCTTTGGAATATCGGACACTTAAAAGTTTTGCACTCAAATTTTACACTAAGGTGTAAGACGTTGCTGAGATGTAGCTTGTTTTGAGAATATCAGGTATTCAGCAGTGAAGCAGAACTTGCTGCTTATGTCTGCTCAAAATTGCAGTCTTGCCCTTGTTGTGTGTCCCAGAGGCCATGAGTCTTTCTCCTGCTGTAGGGTGTCACATGGATTTTCATATTCCTTCTGTCTGGAAGTGCCTTCTTAAGGATAGAGCATTGCATGCATTAGTACAGAGCCAGTCCTTCATCTCCAGGGTCTGATTTCTTTCAGTGATTCCTTTTAAGTAAAGAACCTTCTGCCTTGGCAAAGGTCTCTTTGGACAAAAATTGTGAAGTGTCAAGAGTGGTATTGTCTGTTCTGGTTAAAAGCCTTAATTCTGGCAGGAGCTGTCTTGGTGTGAATAAAATGTGAAGTAGTTTCTACTACGTGTACAGTTACATGACATAAGAATGTAGCGTCACGTCACAAAGATTACGGTCTCCTGTAGCAGTTCAGTCCCCTCTGTCCAATATCCACATACCAGGGATCTGAAGCATCTTGTTTGGGTATCGCCAAATCAGTCGCGTGCTCCTGGATTACACTGCGTCTTGGACAAAGGAGAAAGTGGTATGTTTGGGTTTAATGAGGAGTTTTACCCCCTCGCTTACAATAACCCTTTTATTAGAGAGGCTGGTGAGATAAATGGACCTGACTTCACATAATCTGGAGCACAGACTTTTGAGCTGATGTGTTTTTCTGTCTTTCAAGAGCACTTGAACCACCAGGCTGGCCTGGTGGAGTGGCTTGCTGGCTTTCATGGCAAAGAGCTGGCCTAGCTTGGAGGCCCAGCCCTAGGAGGGGGTTACTGTCCAGGTGCCCCAAGTGTCTGAAGGCTCTTGTGCTACGTGGAGTCCTTGCCATGTCCTAGGAGTTGGCTTGAGTAGTTTCTTTATTTGTGTTGTTGACTGGTGAGGATCATGTTCTCATACGTCTGTTGCCCTCTGCTCTGGGAAGGTGGTGTCCATCCTTAGCTGTGCCGTATTAGAAGTAATTATTTCTGCAGTGCATCATTGTATATGTGTACATATGTGATGTCATATAAATGGAGCAAATGCTTTCCTGTATTTAGGTTGGGAATGTGGTAAAAGGCTTAAACTTAGAGCTCAAATGCCGACATGAGGCCCAGCTGCTTTGTTCGCTGACAATTTGTAGCCTCCCCTTCTCCAGTGGAAGATGTTGAATGTCAGTAATGAAGCTCAGCAGCAGGTAGGCAAACTTCCCTGGCATTTTGCCTACATCCCATGTTGAAGAAAAGCTAGGATTACGAAACCCTGTAATTTCAGTCTTCTGAAGGACAGTTGCATGTGTGAGATGAAACCATTTGACTGTATCTGGAGCAGGAAATGCATCAGTACACCACTAGTGATGCACATTTTTCTTGGTCCTCAAGAAAGGATGAGAAATTGCCATCTGAAGTGCTTGATATTATGGCTGGGAATGGTGACTTGAAGACTGAGATACCTGCTGTATGATGGTGGCTATTAAAACTTTGTAGTTCTTGTATCCATCAAATTTAGGAGGAGGCTTTAGGGAAGGCAGTTGGGGAAGCAATTAAGGAAATTCCAGCCCCAGGGTGTAGCTCTGTGATTGTATAGGTGAGGAGATTGGTCTTGCACAGATTCAGCAGTATGATCTTACCAAAAACAGGCCAGGACTCACACTGTTTGTGAACTAGATGGGACAGGAGGAAAAAGCTCCAGCTAGCCTTTTTGCTAGCTGTTGGTGAAGAGAAGATTCTCTACTCAGCATGAAGCCTGCTGATGTATGTAGCAAACTGCATAATTTTTTAATGAATTTGAATCTGTAGCAGGAGTCTGTATTGGATCATTTCTGCATGTCACGAGGTAATACTGTTTCTGAAGTGGTGGCATGAGCCAAAGGCAGTTGGGGCTTTTTTTGTGAGGTGTGTTTTTTTTTTTTTTTTTTTTCCTGTCATCAAGCCATTATTTTAGCCAGGTCATCTGAGATAATGAGGGCTGGTCCCAAGAATTGGTGCTGATGCTCTTATCTGGGCATGGAAGAGTTGCAGGGATGCTGGAGTTTGTGAGCTTGTGGGGCTTTCCTGCAGGGGCTGACAGGGCAGGTCACCTGTTCCCTGTGATACTCCTGCTGATGACAAAGGTTTCTGCCCAACCCTGCCTTCTCTTTAGCAGCTTTGATGTTGAGTGTTGTGAGTCCCTGTGCATAAACAAAACCATTTACTCACAGAGGAAGAAAATCTTTTGAGGACGACACTGATAACTGCTTTCACTGGGTTGCTTGCAGATCCTATATGGGGTTTTGGCACAAGCGTCAACAATAGTTACACTTCTAAATGGGAAGAGACTGCCATGTTGGCAATTAATATCCCCAAGGGATATTTTTCTCTGGCTGTTTTCTCAGTGCAGGATAGACCTCGGCAGTGATCTTCACTGGCTGCAGGGTGCTCTTGTGATCCTCACCCTGCCTGCTGTCCTGGAAGAAACCCAGAATTTCTTCCAATGCTTGAACTCATGATGGATTGCGGCGTGTGGGAGTGACATGAGATGTGATATCTGGCAGACGATTCGGGCCTTTTTGTTCCTTTTCCTGCAAATTTTCCTTTTCTATTCCATTTCATGTTTCCTTTTCTGCATGCAACGGTTCTTGAGCTTATGTTGTGAGGCTGTGCGTGTCTGTGGACTGCTTTGAAGGGGTCTGTGAAAAGTGATCAGAGAAACGAGACTTGCTGGAAGGTCTAAATCCACTGTCGCGTGCCTGCACCTTGAATGCAAAATGGTTAGACACACGCAAATCATTAAAAAGGAGTGAATACCCCTGCTACAAGGAATGAGACAACACTCCTCTCTTTGGTATTTGAACTATTTATTTCTAGTGGTTAAACCTGGTGTCGCTTGCTTCTGTTTATTTTCTGAACTTTAACCAAAGCATGTATGTGTGCCTAGCAAAAAGGGGATGGGTCAACTAGGGTGTAGTTTTATAGATGAACTGGGAACCCTCAAACTGTTGGGAGGGGTATTTGTAGGCCACGTAAGTTCACCCCACACTGTGCTAGACTTTTTTGTGGTGATCATGCGAGTCCCCTGCTTCTCTTCTGAGCACTGACAATCTAAGGAGCCTTTAAAAATGCAGATAGGGAAAAAGTTGAAGCAATACTGAGTTTCTTGTCCTCAGCATTTTAAACTGAAACATATGCTTCCTACCTCCATTGCTGGGATTTCGCTGAAACCCCGTCAGCAACACATTGTTGAACAGAGCAATCCTTTATCTTTCATAGCAGGAAGGAATCCCAATGAAATGCAGCCCAGTAGCATGCTTTCAAACAATCCTTGCATTTTTAACAAAATTTCGAAAGCAAACTTACTTTTTATAGAGAAATGTCTGTGAACAAAAATGTTCCTTTCCTTAAAAAAGAAAAAAAAAAACCTGATACAATACAGTTGCTTTACCCTCAGGCTAATAAGAAGTTGCTGCCAATTTTGATACACTCCAAAGTCTGCTTCAGCTTTCTTTGCTGAAATATTTTGTATGAAGTGCTTTGATCTGAAAAGGAAAAGCCCTATGGGCTTAACTCTTACGGGTTGTCCCTGCTGCCATCAGTCCTGGTGATGTGGTATGAGCAAGGCCAGGATGATTCAGTTGAGTTTGCAAATGAGAAGAAACAGGCTGGGCATGATTTGTCCATAGTTGTAGATGCAGAGGCTGGAAAGAAAAATGGCTAGAGAACTGAAAGGCTTTAGAGGCCAACAGATCTCTCTTTCCAATGTATTTGCACAAGTTACTGTGAACCTCTCAACACGGGGTTCTGGAAAGTCCTGCAGGAACTAGAAGTAAAGGCTCTTCCACCGCTGAAGTGGGTCATTGCTTGATACCCTACATCAGCACTTCTTTACCCAGTGACCTTCTGCACATCCCCTTCCCTCAGTCAGGTCAAGGTCAGAGTATGAATCTTGTGGAAAAACACCTCTTGGGGACTCACGTGACTCTGGAAGGCAAAGGAGCAGCTAAAGGATAAACCAAGGGCTGCAAGGAGATGAAATGTCCCTGCAGAAGGCAAGGACCCGCACGTGAAGGC